TTCGCTTCACGTTGATCCTGAAACCACGTAACCACACTACCTCCGCCACGTGAGTATACGCGGTTGTTAATTACCGTGGCGGTTTTATATGCCCACTTCGCGAATGCACTGATCGTCGAATTCATCGCTACACTGACATAAGGGCGTAACTAAACTCTGCAATGAACCCTTTCGTCCATTTAACTCAATGCTTTTCCGGGCGCACCTCGATGCGGAGTTACGCCCTTATGTCAGCCAAGCGACGGATTTGCTCTTCGGTTTTCACGCCGCCTTTCAAAAATCCCAAGGTCTCTTTGCATTGCCCCTTGCGCTCAAAATTGAGCGAGCTTCAGACTAATTGTGTTTTAAAATCAAGTCGCAGGCAAGCTTTAAATGGGTCAAGTACAATTTTCAAAAGTGGACTCATTAATGTGAAAGAAGTCCGCAAACACTGGAAGATTTGAAATGGAACCTACCCATCTGTTAATATCAAAAACATAAGAGAAAAAACGAGAAACAAGGCTAAAAATCACACATAAAAAATCCGAGACATTTCGGCTCAAAACTGAGCCGTTTTCAGTCGGAAGAATAAAAATAAAATATACAAATTCCGAATAATTCCAAACTTTCTCGGCCGTCATGTAGTCTGCGGGTTTCTGTCTGGAATTTTTATATTTTTTTCTTCCGACTGAAAATTGCTCAGTTTTGGGCCGAAACTTCTCAGGTTTTTTATGTGTAATTTTTAGCCTTGTTTCCCGTTTTTTCTCCTATGTTTTTGATATAACCATCGTCACGGGCTGCTGTTTTAAAAATTTCAACCTATACTCTCATCAATCGAATTTTAAGATTTCGAGAGGAAAAAATAAATTCGTTACCACTGAAAATCACGGAATATACGCGTATTTCATTTTCATTTTTCCAATTTCGTGAGAGAGCGCTTCAATGACGCTGTAATGTGTGGGAAAAAAATGCATATTTGACTTCAAAATTACGAAAATGACGAAGTTTTCTCTTCGTTCTACGAAATCGTCAGTTTGCATACAGGCGGTATTGTTTTTTAGCCATCGATAATGCCATGAAACTTTCTTGTGCGTTATAAAAAATTTACTCACAAATGAAATTCAAGTCAGAATAATGATTACTTTTCAGTTGAAAATGAAACAGGACAGGAAATTAGGCAACGTGTGATGTAGAGATGATTTCTGTTGAATCCGTCCATTCAAACCTCAAAATTAACATTTCATACGATTCTTTTCTTTTCTTCGGAATCTTTATTTGAAATTCGGTCCATCCTTATTATCAACTTATATTAAACAAGAAGACAACAATAAGAAACCTTTTACCACCCTCTTCAATTACGATTACATCAATCTACATTAAAAAATTGGAATTAAATATCCTGTAATTGAGACATATACAATCCGTCCATTCAAACCTCAAAATTAACATTTCATACGATTCCTTTCTTCTCTTTCAGAATCTTTATTTGAAATTCGGTCCATTCTTATCATCAACTTATAATAAACAAGGAAAAAACAACGAGAAACCTTCTTCAATTACGATTACAACAATCTACATTAAAAAAATCGGAATTAAATATCCTATATTTGAGACATATTCCACTTTCCTACTTACATCAATCACCCAGAATATCTTGTTAGGGTTAAATTCAAATTAACCTTACGTATATTTATTATTATTCAATGTTTTCTCGAAACGTAAATTTAAATGCAATCCACCCGAGAAACCAAAATGTGCACATAGAATGTAGGTCGAGTCACTCAAACAAATTCGTAAGTGAGAGCGATAGAGGTTTTATTTGCGCCCGGCGTTCGGCTCCAAATCCATACAACAATAATAATCCATAGATCAAAGTTCCGACAGCATGTTCCAGACATGAAATTTGCGACAGCTGTTGTCCCTTGAATATCACGAGAATAGCCCGATATCACTCACCGTTCGACTCTCTGTTACGAGCTTTGTTTCATAACTTTCAGTCATCGGAAACGTAAATGAAAATAAACACTGTTAGTTATTATATTGTTCGCGTTTACGACGGCTAGAAAAATATGGTACATCGGTGACGGCTCGTGTCAAACTCAAGGCTCTTGAGTCTATGACATTTTTGAATGCTGTTTGTTAATAGAAAGCATTACTTCTTAAGAAAAATTATACAAGATTAAAAATGGACCGAGTTTAACAGAAAGGGTTGGTTAAGCCACATCAGCTATTGCCAAGTTTAACTGGGCAATTAAATTTTTTACGAGAGAACGTTTGTTGGGATTTCTTAGAAAATTTAAAGTAATTTGCCTCGTACTATGGAGAATTTTCACTGAAATTTGCACGAAAATCCGCACAACCGTTTTCATGTAAAAAATTAAATTAGCCGATTAAATTTGGCAATAGCTGATGTGGCTCGGTTCCTTTCTGTTTAATGCGGTCCATATGTTCCTCAATTTTCTCCATCTACGGGAAAATGATTATAGTCCACAAAAACTCAGAATTGAGGTTATTCATTTTTTTAGTATCGAAATCCAGAGGTATGTTCTATAAATATTATTACTTGAATAAACGCAAATTGTCGGATCAACTCACAGCTGCAATGACTTAATTTTCTCGTTTAAAAAAAAAAAAAAAAAAAAAAAAAAAAAAAAAAAAAAAAAAANAAAAAAAAAAAAAAAAAAAAAAAAAAAAAAAAAAAAAAAAAAAAAAAAAGTTTTGAGAAGAAGCAATTTAAAATTCTCATGTTCAGTCTCATGTTCTCATGTTCGTGGCAAAAGAAATCATGATTATTTAAATATCTTCCTCAAAAATAGACAAGAAAAGCATAATTACTAATTGTTAGCCGACGATTCGAATTTGAAGATGATAGCGCCTGGATACAACTATTCCTACTCAAGGGATGTCAATATTGCCTATAGATTCTAATGAAGGCGTTCTGAATTTTCTTACTCTCACGGTAAAGTACTCCTTTCACTACTGAAAAGGAATGCTATTCCGGTGCACCACGGGGTCAAAGTTGATAAAAACGTGGAATTGAATTTAACAATACGTGTATGAAGACTTATATGTAATAGTGACTTTTGTACAGTTGTACACTGGTCTGATATTATGTCCACCGCACCGCGGGTGGTAGGTCTGACACCGAGAAATTACCACGATTAAAGCGCGTACAGTGCTGTGCGCGCCATGCGTGAGGTATTCATACAATCTTGTAGGCGCTAGTATGCGTTTGACGTCAACTGGCCGACTGCGTTACGTTTGGCGCAATGCGAGAAGTATTCATGCAGTCTTGTAGGCGCTAATATGCGCTTAACGCCGGCCGCACTGTGTTTGGCGCGATTATTCGAACTGGCGTCAGAATCATTGGTTGGACACGTTATTCGTTGACTCCCATCCATTCTCTCGGCCGTCAACTAACGAGCAAACTCTTTCTTTCTCACTCGATTCTAGTTCCTTTCAGCATAAATATTATACGTATCTATTATGTTATATTACTGTAATTTATCACATGATTCAAATTACGCCTTGTTTTATTCAATCTAGCTTTCTCGTAAGGGCTGCATTCAGCATAACAAGACCGGATTTTCGGGAAATATCTACTCTTCATTATTGCCAGTTGGTCTAAAACTCTAGGACAATTTTTGTAATTCCAATTTGGGTGTACATCACTGCACCCCCTGAACGCGGTGCGTCCTTTCAAAGTGCTTCGCGCTTCAGGCGTTGAGCGTCACGCTTTACTCTTATACGATTTTATATTATAGAGTAAGATTCGATTACAGATTAGTTGCGCAGGTCATAGAAGCTTTGTTTCAACGGTGAAATCTTAAAAAAAAAGCAAGATTTGATTCGGCGCAAAATTGCAGCTCACTTTCAGATTTGACAGAGATCAAACACATAAATGGACCGCATTTTGAAATTTGGAACCATAAATTCTGGCTCTTCTGGAAAAACACTTATGTGCATAAGGAAACTAACGGCACATACGCTGTTTTCAAACCGGGCTAGAATTTATAGTTCCAAATTGCAAAATGTAGTCCAAATAATGAGGTCATATCTTATTGCAGCGCATTGTACTTTTCTTAGAAACATTCAAATCTGTATCGGATGAAAAAGGATTTGGCAGTTATTTGTTGCTAGAATCAATAAAGGTTCTATGTAAAGAAAGCGGTTTACTGTGCTCAGTAAAGTTTGCAAAATATCAAATCAACAAATCAACTAAATATTTCAGCGCTCCACGACATGAAAAAATCGTTTTGATACGAGTATGACAATTTATATTTGAATCAATGTTTCATCTTAATAAAAACTCATTTTGTTTCTGTCGTCCTATTTCAGATAGCATGAGTGTGACAAAGGAAGTGGAATTAATGGCATGAACTGCTGCTGTAGATGAAGAAAACAATTGTTTTTTAAAACCCGATTCTTTGAAATGTAAAATTCAACGATCGAAAATCGTTCAAAAATTGTAGTTTTTCCCACAACTCCAACGTTGGAATTGCACACCAAAACACACATGGGAAAATTCATCATATGAGCACTTACCGGAACACCTTTATTATGAAATCCTACCTTGTCTAGTGCCCGATTTATATTGTAATCCGGCGTTGTGAATGATTTTTTTTTAAGATAGCACCCTTTTCACGGTTGACAACCGAACATGATGGTTGAGTAGATCATGGTATTTTTTAAAAACCTGCAAAAGTGCACCATTAAACCACGATTCTTTGAAACATAAACTTAACCCGTATGGGTATAACTTCAATGTTTGAATTACACACCAACCGCACACACTGATAAAAACATCTGTGATTTTTTGTTACTTTTGGTTAATATAGGAACTGAAACACGAACCAATCCAAATTTTAAGTTGATTTTGGTGTACAGTTTGCGGAGAATTTTGTGCGTAAACCATTGGAGAGACTGCGACACCATAGAGTCGACCGAAGGCGTGGGTTATTTTGCGTTTCAACCAAATTCTTCTCATCGTGCATGGGAAAATTCATCATATGAGCACTTACCGGAACGCAGTCATTCACACCCACATATCTGTTCGGCCCGAACTTTCTGGACTCAGTCACCTCAAATCACGGAACACTCCAAGGGGCGATGTATCCCTGTTTCGGATCCGGAAACAAAGTAGTCATGTCCGGGAATGACACGGAGGCCAACGTAAACAAATTCCCTCGGGAGCATCTGCGAAGGAATGTTTTTCGACGGGTGGAAGTTGGGAGGACTGAGGAAAAAGGCGAGGAGATATTTTCTCCGAGAGCGGCTCGTCCAAGCCGGTGCCTTGCACGGGGGTTTTCTCTCCTTTGTCATCCCTTCCCGGGCGGCTCGCTGAGTAACCGACTTTGCGTAGACATGTGACCTATTCCCCTCGAAGTGGGGAAGTGGGGAATGTTTTTGCCTACCGGACTGGGTGAAGGAGTTATTCACTCCGCCAACACAAATAAAGCTCATTATTTCTCCCGCACTTCCGGGTCCGGCTCACTTTGACGGGCGAACTCCTCTATCCGCGTTCGAATTGGACGTATTTCTGTCAAACAGAACTATGTGCATTATGACGTGAGCCCTGGTATGCATGTATTCTTAAGGGTCTCAGGGCTCATTTCTCAATGCACATAGTTCCGTTTGACAGAAATACGTCCAATTGATCTGCTCTTGAGCGTTATTCATGCCATGACATTCGATTTGTCGGAATAAGTGCATCGTACCAAGTTCAGCTAACTTTCAAAGGTGTTGTCACTGCTGAGCATACTTGAGCCGGTTATTCTGCCGTGCAACGCGAAAACGCCGTAAACGCCATTATACATGTTTAATGAAACATCACTAGTGAAACATTCGTTCATGTACCTCTAACTATGAGTTAACAATTTTTATGACCGAAGATGCGTTTAAAAGATTTTTCCAAAAGAAATCGTCAATTCTTCGAATATATCAGATTTTTACATTCTGATGCACTAAGCACTAAACTTTTAGTCATTTTACTTCATTAGAAGTTTGTTTTTGAGCAATATTATAGGTCTTTTGGTCGATTGGAACATTCTAGTGATGAAGACAACTTAAACAGGAGGATCAGAGTTCAGACTCAGAAGAAAAAGTCAAAACACGCAAGGGCGGGTTCCTCAGTTTTCTACTATCTCTTCAAAGTTGAAAAATTGCTTCCTGACAGCCTTAAGGAAGTGAATTTCCGAAATGAAAAAAATAGATCCTTCAGGGTATAAAAGAAAGCATCTTGTGACAAGTAAAATAGGATAAAACAATAACTTCCTGGTCGGTGAGGTTTTTCGAAAGAGAGTTTTTAGTATAAATTCACCATCAAAAATTATGTAGTAATTTATTCGACCCTGCGCCCATCTTTAAAGGTGTCACAATGACAACATCTAAAGAGTGCAGCCGCTTAAAGCTGAACTAGGTCACTCGGACTATCGATGGATTTGAAGAGTGCATTCATACGCACGAATATATAGCAAGGAGATGGATTTCCTTTCATGTATGCTTATTATTACCTAGACATATCATGAATGTAAATGTCAGTACGCAAAAAGTTCGTTGAACTTGGTATATCCCGTTTTCGGTAACTTTTTCCTACTTACTGTATTCGTGGAAGAGGGAATTACCTGTTCTGCGCATACAGAAAAAATGCGCCTCATCATCCAATTTAATTGGGGAATTCAATTTTTTGCATGAAAACGGCTTTGCGGGTTTTCGTGCAAATTTCAGTGAATTTTCTGCATGGTGCAAAGCAAAAGCCTTAACATTCTCAAAGGAATCCGCACGAACGTCCTCTTGTAAAAAATTAAATTGCCCGGTTAAATTTGGCAATAGCTGATGTGGCTTGGTTCCTTTCTGCTAAACGCGGTTCACTTTTTCCACAAATTGTACTTTGTCTAGAAACCGATTCTACACCGAAAAGAAAAGGTTGCTGATTTAAAAATTTGAACATAACAAGAGTGCGACAACTCATAAAACGCCGAATTCACCGCCACATGAGTTAGTTTTACATCTTGGCATTGCTAAAGTAACTGCTTTAGCGATTAATCCAGCGTTTTGTGAGTTGTTGCACACTTTTTTACATCCAGAATGTTAAATCAGCATCCTTTGTTTTTCGGTGTGCTTTGTCTAGAGGCCAAATTTATACGGGCCGCCAATCTGGCAACACTGTTCGCAAAGGATGACGAGCACACGCAACGGACGCTGCATTGCGTGCGCGGTGGAGCTCTGAATATTTGCAGCCGATAATTTACGACCTTTAAACAGTGCATAAGAAGCAGTCTCTCGGCTCGAAAATGAGTTAATGTAAACATCTTGTAATACATCTACGCACAAATATTTATGCCACTCAAAAATTCCCCGGCTCCATGCAGGTCGTGGGCAAGTGATAGACGGATTCTCCGGGCTATTACTGCCGTGATAAGGCAAAACGCCGCATGAGCCTTCAGGCGTTGCCAAATTTCCCTCGACAAATCACCAGCTTCCAGGAAAATTTGTGAATATTTTTTCTCCGATTTTTCGAAGGATTTTGTTCGTGATTTCATCGAAAAAGTCTGAAAAATTCAATGAGGCAGATGCATGACCCTCTTCAAAAATACATGTTTTATTCGGGGAAATTTGGCAACTTTTGAATGTTCATACGGCGTTCTTCCTTAGCACGGCATATTACCGCTGCGCCGCGTCACGCCGGCCACTTCTCTCGCATGCGGACCAGCGGCAGATGCGTGCAGTTTTGCAGGCAACTTCACACGTTCGGAGGGCATAAATCAGGTCGATTTGCACATCTCAGGAATAGCGTTTAAGCGAGATCTACCGATAAACCAATAGATGTCACAGTTAAAGGATCATGGACCACTAGACAAGGTACGAATTTAAACATTCTGATACATGTTTCTTAACCAGAATTTCAGGTAGGACACGATTCTTGCATCGAAATTACAGAAGACATAGGCGTACCTAGGTCAATTTTCTAGGGGGGGGGGGGCTGGCCCCCCTACCACCGCACCGGAGGGTCTGGAGGGCTGAGCCCGGGAGGAAAGTTTTGAAATTTTAACTCTGCTTGGACAAATTTTGAGGCTTCCATGACGCAGATTTTCCATCTTTTTCTGCTGAAAAATTACGTTTATTTGTTTACTTTCAGCGAAGAATGCTTTCGAATTGTTGCATGCAATAGAGCCGGAAATTTTTTGAAATTTTAACTCTAGTTGGAGGCATTTCGAGGCTTCCACGATGAAAATTTTAGAAAATACCAAGTAAATCAATACGGTGTTCTCATTTACTAAATTCAGAGAGATAATCATCCTTGACAAAGGTCTTTTCTCACCACCCAGAATTTCTGGGGGGAGGGTGGGGGGCAGATGATACTTTTTTCAATTCAAGGGGGGCCTCGCTTCCCCCTGGATCCCCCTTTGTACGGCCAGAACTGAAATCAACTCCTAACTAAGATACTGACGTTACAATCCTGGATTGGTTACTGAAACTCTGGTTTTGTTAGAAGGTTCAATTTTGTGTTTGTTCAGGATTGTCTTCAAACAATCTTGGTTACAAGAAACGCAATACTCTACGTGAGTCAAATTGCGCCTTTCAACGGTTTTGGCAGGCTTCTCAATTGAGCATCGTTCCTTTCCCACTCTTTATTGTTCCAAGTATAAATAATTTGCTATAGCTGAGCCGAAGCGTCAAGATTGAGGTTGCCATATTTTCGTATTGCATAGAGACTGCCACGGTAACGTTTGAGGCGCGATTTGACTCACGTTGACCATTGCATTTTCATGAGCGGGAAGTTTGAATTCACGCGTTTTAAATTATTGCGTCGACAGAGCACAGGGGAGAATTTCGTGAGCCGCCTTGCGTCGACCGCAGCGCGCATGGCGCACGACCCGCCTTTCATTATTACACTTCATCTAGCGTTGAGAGTTCACTAATTACTTCACACGACGATGTTATTTTAAGAGTCGAAAATTAAAAAAAAAAAAAAAAAAAAAAAAAAAAAAAAAAAATAAATATTTACACGATACACGAGTTTCTCCGCCAGGGAGCTCTCCCCGCAAGAATTCGATGCCTACCCGCCCGCCGGGAGAGCCGCGCCGCGCTGCCAGCGGAAAACGCTCACTGACGCCTACAAACCTAAGAGACTACCTCACGCATTGCGCAATGCTTGAAGTATCCCCTTAGGTTTGTAGGCGACAGTGCACGCTTCGAGCCAGCAGCACGCCGCGCCGCGCCGCGATAAACGTGCCCGCAATTAATAGGTCAGAATGTTAAAATGTAGGCGATTGGACATCAAATTCGAAATTAGCAACTCAAGAAACATCAGTAATTTCGTGATCTTTCAATCATCATCCGACTTATGTTTTACAATTCTTGAGTCTTGGACAACAGTGCGCCGCGGGCGACGGCGCTCATGAAGGAGGAATGCACCTTATTAGTTTAGTAATCTATACTCCTCTCAATAAGGGTTTACAGTAGAAAAACAAGAAGGGGGGACGGGAAACAAGGCTAAAATACACAATTAATAAATACCGACTCAAAACTGAGTCATTTTCAGTCGGAAATACATGCATAAAATAAAAAAAAAAAAAAAAAANAAAAAAAAAAAAAAAAAAAAAAAAAAAAAAAAAAACGATGAAACCCTGAGCTCTACATGGTGGTGGCCGGGGTCTGAGAAAAATGATTCCGACTGAAAATGACTCAGTTTTGAGTCGAAACGTCTCGGTTTTTATTAACTGTTTATTTCAGCCTTGCCTTCCGTTCCCCCCCCCTTGTTTCTCTACTGTTACCATTGTCTTAGGCTGCTCTTAATAATGTGTATCTATCAAGGTTTTACAGCCCATGGTATTGACCGAATCTTGCTAATTTCTGAAGCGAGATCCTGAATCGAACAAGGTTTTTCGATTTTTCCTGCCATCACCCTTCCTCATAAAATGCGCGGCAAATTCGCCGGTATGCAGACGGACGGTCTACAGCAAAAATGTCCACAAGCAGAAAGTCTACATTGACAATGTCTAGAACTAAAAAGTCCACTACAAAAGTGTCTACAAATAATAATGTCTTCTAAAAAAAAGTCCATACTTAGAGAGTTCACTTCTGAATGGAATACTCACATCAGTTACTTCTTTAGTTGTATCTATGGAAAAGAATCATCGTGTATTCATTTTCCTATAATAGACGCGTCATATTTAGACATTTACTTTCTTAGGCCTTCCAAAATTAGACTTTTTGACTGTAGACTAAAATATGTAGACATTTTTTGAGTAGACCTTTTTTTCATGGACCTACTGTCCGTGAATCAATTCGCCAACAATCTGACAACTGACAGATTTCCTTCGGGCTCGGCCAATCAATCGTAGCGGCGGCGGTGGCGGGCTGAGCCCGTTGATAAATAAGCTCGTTTGAATTCACCGCGCACGAGCCCAACTAGTTCTCTTCGACTCCGGAGCCGGACGTTTAATTGGAGCCGCACTCACCACCACTCGCTCGCCGCCGACTAATTTGCCCGACCTCCCCGCCGATCGGCCGACCTAAAGTGGAAGCGCCCGCCCCAGCTGGGCCTGTAATGCTTGGTTTTTGAAGTAGACCCGTAAATAATAACAGGAGCACCTCGAGCCCGGCTTGAACGTACTCATGCTAAAAGGAACTATGTAAAAAGGAAAGAGAGGGTAAAAAGGAAAGAGAGGGTAAAAAGGAAAGAGAGGGTAAAAAGGAAGAACATGGAACACCTTCTTCCTTAGCGAGGCAGCATTCTTCTTGATCCCATCCCTTTTTACATAGTTCTTTTTAGCATGAGTACGTTCAATTTGCCGGGCTCGAAGTGCTCCTGTTATTATTTACGGTCAGGTTGGACACATTTTTTTGCGAAAGCCCTGTCAACATTACCCGCAAAAGTTCATGGAACTTTGCGCAAAAGTTCGGTTCCGTAAACCTATCTCTGTGTGGACAAGCACTTTCATTTATAAGAAATGAACAAAAAAATTATGAGAGAACAAACATAAATGTGGTTTGGTAATTTTAACTTCCGCCGCGCCGCCGTGCTGACCGCGCTGTGTTCGGAGCAATGTGTGAAGTATTCCTACAGTCTTGTAGGCGCCTTGCGTTTCACGTCGTCCGCTGCAGAACGCGCTGTGTTTGACGCAATGCGTGAAGTATTCATGCAGTCTTGTAGGCGCTATGCGTTTCACGCTGAATGCACTTTGTTTGACGCAATGCGTGAAGTATTAATGCAGTCTTGTAGGCGCTGATATGCCGATCGCCGCGCCGAGGCGGGCAAGGGCTTCTCCTTTTAATTTCAAGTCCTCGTCATCATTGCTCTCTGCGCCGCGCCATTCCAGGCCAAATTGTATGTTTGGTTTCTCTCTTGACTCGACTAATTAAAGGTGCTGTATCTTGTATCACCGAAAGACGACAAAAATAGAAATTACTATACTCTCAGGAAATGAGAGATTTTGTCACCTTCTCTAGTTTGTAATTTTTTTTCTGAGTCCGATTTTTTCTTATACCTACATTTAAAAAAATTGCAAAATTTGCCGCGATGGGCCGCGGCCCATGTGGCCACCCTCTAAATCCGGCCCTGTCCACAACGCTCTTTTGCAATGTCCACGGCACATGAGTGCCGCATTCAGTTGGCACATTGTTCCGTTTGACATAATTTAAAATCACGCGTTTCCATTTCTCAAAAGGGAATCACGCCCACTTTAACATTGTTTCTTATGCAGCTCCACCCAATCTTTACCACTCGTCTATAGTTCCATTCGGCAGAAATACGTTCAAATAATACCATGGCACAGGTGAAAAAATCGTAAAAGGAGTCGTTCCATCCAACCCTTATGCACCAGGATGCTACGCAGTATTCAACAGTGGCATGCCGTGCTTTGCGATATATCGATTGATGTGTCATTTAAACCTATGGAAAAGGATCAATGAACAGAGTCGTTGACATTCCTTCATTCTAAATGCGTTTCGATCTCGATGCCAGTGGCGTGGCGTTGAATTGCGATATATCGATTGTGAAGCCATTTAAACCTATGGAAAATGATCGATAAACAGGGTGTTCGCAGCGAACACCTTAATAATCGATTCTTTACCGTAGGTTTAAATGGCATAACAATCGATACATCGCAATTCAACGTCACGCCACTGGTATTCAACAAAGCCGATGCCAATCCAACAAAACACGCGTGACAGAGATGGGGTTTTAAGCTCCTTAAAAGGAACAGTATAACTTTAGCACCTGTATAATTTAATTTCAAAACATATTTTTTCATAGATCTAGACTAGCTCTCAGAATGACTTTATTCACCCAAAAATCATTTTACTTGCATACTAGACATTTCCTTCTCAGAATTTGAGTGTAGTCAGAAGTATGAACTAATTGTGTAACTGCCTTCGTGGCCTTTCGAACAGTTCTTTTTGTCATTAGTGTGAAGCTAATTTTGACGTCGGATCCCTGCTTTACGAACAGATGTGCTTTGTTACCACCACTGCAAGTGTGTTCCAATTTTTTCATAAACTGTTCAATGCACTCTCATCACAGAAAAATAAAGAACAATAACTCACTTGCACATCTAGTTTCATTCAAAAACAGCGCGGGACAGTGCACAGCGGACACTTTTCAGGTGTTGACACTGTGGCAGCCGATGCCTGAAACGGTGAAATGCGTCAGCGATTTTTAACTACATTTGACGTGCAAGTTAATTACTGTTTTGTTTTTGTGTTTTCTCCTATTTTTTTATTTTACTAGTAAGCTCTTGCAAGGTTTGTCGCTCTTTATCATGTAGTAATTTCCGGTGGTTTTGAATTGCTGTCACTGAGTCTCCCGGCATGTTAGGATCGTTCCTTTTTTCGAATTTATTTACAGGTGAGTTCATCTTCACGTTTGCTTATTTGAGCAAACTATCATGATATTAGCAATATGTTTCGGGCATTGTAAACCCTAATGTCAGGTCAGTTTGAAATCAGATCGAGTCAGGCTGCTGTAAGTAACCCAGTCTAAATTATTCTGCCATATTTTGTCAGTCTGTCGGTGAAAACCCCAAGTCTGAAACACCGAAAAAAAAGTGAAGTTGATTTTAACATTGTAGATGTAAAAAAAGTGTGCGTGAACTTATTAAATGCTGGATTACCCGCCACAGCAGTTAGTTTAACATCTTGGCATTGCTGAAGTAACTGATGTAGCGGGCATTTCAGCATTTTATAAGTTCTTGCACACTTTTTTTTAACATCAAGAATGTTAAATCAACTTCATTTTTTTTCAGTGCATAATGCAGCTAAGTCTAAAGTTTGCGTGATTTCGAGTCAAGCCAATGTCAGATTGATATGTATATGTATAAACCGTTTTTCATAAAACACTGTGACTCAGTCTGACGTCAGAGTGGTTCACTTTTACGGGACATTATTCGACAGGGAGCGTTGTCAACGTATGGTTCGATTCATTCTTCCCCAAATTTTCTTACTTTTTTTGTTGAATTTTAACGATGATAACGCCGTTTTTCACTTCTGTCATATCAAACGCGACTGCACTTCTTGGACGAGATTAGTTATTTCAACTTTCCTTCAGTGAAGGTCTTTTTTCATCGATCAGAGTTTCGTACTATAGATTATGGTTACCATAATTGACCACTAGACAAGATGCGAATTTAAGCATTCTGAGACATATTTTTTAACCAAAATTTCACGTAAAACACGATGCGCACAACAAGAATTACCGAAATCAACTCCTTACAAAGATATTTAATGATTCCTGATGCGTGAATTCAAACCACCCGCTCATTAAAACTCAATGCTCTACGTGATTTACATCGCGCGCTGAACGCGCATGACAGTCTCTGTGATATAAAAATCTGGCAACCTCAATCTTGACGCTGTGGCTCAGCTATAGCAAAATGCTAATAATTTCAACAACACATGGTGAGAAATGCACATTGCTCGATTGAGAAACTTGCGGAAACCGTTATAGTGCGCGATTTGACTCACGTAGAGCTTCAAGTTTCCTGTGAGCGGGCAGTTCAAATTCCTCGTAACCAGTGTGAAATAAAAACGTTAATATCTTCGTTAGGTGTTGATTTCAGTAATTTTCTTTGTGCGAATCGTGTTTTAAGTGTAATTCTGGTCAAGACAAATGTATCAGATTGCTTAAATTCGTACTTTGTCTAGTGGTCCATTTCATAAAAATGATGTATTCACTTGACTAAATTTTTCGAGTTTTTCGCCGCAAGACCTATATTGCGATCGGTCATAATTGGGCGATCGGCCGGGTATTTCCTTTGGACTATCGCTAAAAATCCGCGTCACCTTGACCCAAAAACCACGTCCGAAATTTCGAGTGAGATGGCAGGACTCGCGGGTCAAGTGAGATAAGAACCGGGCTTCGAATCGCGGCTGCTCTTGTGATTAAATCGAGCCATGATGAAATCGCCAAAACGGGGCTCCATTCAGCTTTTCGCCCGGCTACACTCGCTCAAAAGACGCAATTGATTCGAGCACTTGACCGAAAATCGCGGGCCTTGAACTTGGAGCTTAATCTCGCCCGCCGGTCTAGGCTCTCCGGGCGATTAATTAGATCCGCAGCAATAACAACGTAAGTCCCGATCAAGCCCGTTTGGAGATACGCGATTTTGCCCAACACGGAGCCTCAGAGGTCCGCGCCGCGGCAGCTGTCAGAACGTGGTTAATGGGTGCGGGAGGAGCGAGCAGGGAGGTTTTAGGTCACACCGTAGACTCAGCGAGTGGTCTAAACACATGTGATAGTGGGCCGTGCCTCTTAAATGTGTTTCCAATGGATTGAAATGAGTCAATGTCACATGCGTGGACTAAACCTAGAGTACCGTTATAGGCAGAGTATGGCCCGTTTCTGTGCCGGTTTTTCATTGGTCGCGTGAAAATAGGCTGACACGATGTTCTTACGGCCGTAAATGAACAAACAAGATGACTGTTATCAGCAAGCAAGTTTGAGGTTATGCAAATCTTAAATCCTCATGTGATTAAGATGAAAGGCGATTTAACAGTGTTTTCATGTGTTATTTGTAGACATGCTAGTTAAAATTGTTACTGTCGTATAGTTGAAATTTTTGTCAAATTTTAGCTTCTTATCGATGTTACGGTGAGCCGCCATCTTCTTTATTTATTTACGGCCGTATGAGCATCATGAAGCCTGAAAACTCGTTGACCGATCAAAAAGCGGCACAGTTTTCCAGTATTAATAAGATACGAATGGCCATACTCTGTCTATAAAGGTACTCTAACTGAACCCAAGGTGAGAGCTCTACACCACGGTCGACAAAACTTGACAGCACTGAGGCTAGGAAAACTAAATGTTATAAATGGAAGATATTTTTCCTCCTTGGTTAATGATCGAGCATTTTCGAGCAAATAAAGCTGAAAGTAAAATATGACGCAGCTGAGTTGTAAACCATATCGTAGGCTGCCTGCGTCAACAATGCAAACACGGTTACAGTCAAACATTCTCGTTGCAACAGCTTACTGTGATTTCCTCCTTTCCAATCACAAGGGGTCTAAATGTGTGTTGTATATTGGTGAGTTTCACACCGAAAAAAATCATATGCTGTTTGAGCACCTAGGATGTCAAAAATGTGTCTGGTGATCAGAAGTTGTTGTCTTTGCTGCCTCCGCAGTTAACTTTACATCCTGTGAATGCAAATTTAACTGTGTAAGCAGTTAAGGCAGCATCTTGGGATCACCAGACACATTTTTGACATCCTAGGTGCTAAAACAGCATATTATTTTTTTCGGTGCAAAGTTGTGTAGATTCTTGGTGTTGTGATACCAAGAATGATCTGCTTTACCGTGTCAGCGGTGTCATACAATGAATGACTATGACCACATCCAAAAATGACAGGACAAGATTAGTTTTATTAATTCAAGTGTGATAAAAAATTTCAGCAAAAAAGGACCTTAGTCCATGAAGGTAACCATTTCAGTAGAGTTATCTTGTGGAGTTGGGTAGAAAATCTAATTTCAGAATTCGACGGAGACCTTTTTCTAGTGTCTTAGATACTAAGCTACGAGCGAATTTGTTATTCCTTGCGCTGATATTAAACGGGCGAAAAAAAGCTTGATCCGAAAATTCCCATGAGCTTAGCTAAAACAATTTTAGGAGTCCCTTTACTCTTCAGGTGGGTCTACTGGTACTGACAATGAGTGGAAACATTCAATCGTAACTTGTCTAGGCCGGGCGGGAGCACATGGGTAACAGCTTTCTGAGGGGGGGGGGGTCCCGGGACTCCTTTGGCTAGTTACCCACACGATTATCTTCATGCACACTGGGCTTGTCCATTTCCTCTGAAATTTTTGCAGTGGTGAATGCATAGCTGAAGTGCGCTTCAGCTAGAATGGACCACTAGACAAGGTACGAATTTCAGCATTCTGATACAAGTTTCTTAACCGAAATTTCACGTAGAACACGATGCGCACAACAAAAACTACTGAAATCAACTCCTTACGAGAAAATTAAATGATTCTTGATGCGTGAATTCAAACCACCCGCTCATGAAAACTCAATGCTATACGTGAATGATTCACATCGCGCGCTAAACGTCATCATGACAGTCTCTGCTATATAAAAATCTGGCAACCTCAATCTTGACGCTTTGGCTCAGTTATAGCAAGTTGCTTATGGTTTGAACAACACATGGTGGGAAATGAACGTTTGCTCGATTGAGAGGCTCGCTGAAACCGTTGTGGTGCGCAATATTTGACTTACGTAGAGCTTTGAGTTTCTTGTGAGCGGGCCTTTCAAATTCCTCATAACCAATGTGAAATAAAAACGTTAATATCTTCCTTAGGAGTTGATTTCAGTAATTTTCGTTGCGCAAATCGTGTTTCGCATGAAATTCTGGTTCGGAAACATGTATTAGAATGCTTAAATTCGTACCTTGTCTAGTGGTCCATTGTATTCACAAATGGATGGTTTTTCTACGAGGATTTAAAATACACAAGTGGCACGGAATATAACAAAAGAATATGAACTATGCAAAACGATATTCCGGGTATCGGAACTTGGCTGATCTGAAAACGCCTTCAAATGCGGCGTGATACCTCACGCATTCCGAAGAGTTCAAATAGTTGTATCATTGTGCCTTAGAAATGCGACGGAAGATTGCAATTGAAATAGCCTTCATGCACGCTGGCCTTTTCGATTTCCGTTAACATTTTTGCAGTCATGAATGCGCTTTAGTGCGCTTCAGCTAGAATTGTATTTAGTAAATGGGTGGTTTTGATGGGAGGATTATAAGGGCTTATTCATACGAAAGGGAACTAAGCGCCAAATTTCCAAATTTCAGATTTTAACGGATCTGGATTCTCCATGTAATAAACTGCTCGCACACGTAAATATGCCCCCAAAATACTAATTTCATCCCCTGGGATCAGCCCCTGAATAATCGCAAAACAGGGAATCAGCGATTACGAATAAAATCAAAACGAACTATATGTGATTCCCTTTGACGTAATGCGCTAACCCGGATTCCGAATTAAATCAAAAGGAGCTATCTCCACTCGATTGCAGCGCGCGCGGCAGAGCTTGATGGAAACTTGGTGAAACTTGGTATCGGCGGGTATTTTTGGACTGGAAACTCGAATTTCGGGTCAAATTTTGAAAATTCAGAAATCCAAGATGGCGGACACGGCCTAAAATGCTATCTCGGGCCCTGTCCAGCCGATCTTGGTACAACTTGGGATCAGGGGGTATTTTTGGACGGGAAACTCGAATTTTGGGTCAAATTTTAAAAATTCGGATATCCAAGATGGCGAACATGGTCTAAAATTCTATCTCGGCTCCTGTCCAGCCGATCTTGAAGAAACTTGGTATCAGGGGGTATTTTCGGACAGGAAACTCGAATTTCGAGTCAAATTTAAAAAAATCGTTTATTCAAGATGGCGGATGTGGCCTAAAATGTTATCTCCTATTTAAACGCGCACTGCCGAAAAATCCCAGATGTCGTCTGGTAGATCCCCTGAGTGACGGTCACATATAGCCCGTGCGTTCCCTCTGGAAATTCGAGTTTTCCGTCCGAAAATACCCCCTGATACCAAGTTTCACTCAGATCGGCTGGACAGGGCGGAGATAGCATTTTAGGCCATGTCCGCCATCTTGGATTTGTGAATTTTCAAAATTTAACCCAAAATTCGAGTTTCCCGTCCAAAAATACCTCCCGATGCCAAGTTTCACCAAGATCGGCTGGACAGGGGCCGAGATAGCATTTTAGGCCATGTCCGCCATCTTGGATTTATGAATTTTCAAAATTTAACCCCAAATTCGAGTTTCCCGTCCAAAAATACCCCCCGTTACCAAGTTTCACCAAGTTTCCATCAAGCTCTGCCGCGCGCGCGCCAATCGAGTGGAGATAGCTCCTTTTGATTTAATTCGGAATCCGGGTTAGCGCAAAAAATCAAGTGGACCAACGTGCAAAATCCCCTATATCTCGCTGGGCTTGTCGATTTCGTCTGAAATTTTTGCGGTGGTGAATGCATAGCTGAAGTGCGTTTCATCTAGAATTGTATTTAGCAAATGGGTGGTTTTTCTACGAGGATTAAAAATAAACAAGTGGCACGGAATATAACAAAAGAATATGAACTATGCAAAACGATAATCCGCTTATCGGATCTTGGCTGATTTGAAAACGTCTTCAAATGCGGCGTGATACCTCACGCATTCCGGAGAGTTCAAATAGTTGTATCATTGCGCTGTAATAATGTGACGGGAGATTTAAATGCAGATAGCCTCCATGCACGCTGGGCTTGTCGATTTTCTCTGACATTTTTGCGGTGGTGAATGCATAGCTGAAGTGCGCTTCAGCTAGAATTGTATTTAGCAAATGGGTGGTTTTTCCACGAGGATTAAAAATAAACAAGTGGCACGGAATATAACAAAAGGATATGAACTATGCAAAACGATAATCCGGGTATCGAAACTTGGCTGATTTGAAAACGCCTTCAAATGCGGCGTGATACCTTACACATTCCGGAGAGTTCAAATAGTTGTATCATTGCGCCGTATGAATGTGACGGAAGATTTAAATGGAAATAGCCTTCATGCGGTAATGGGTCACTATGGACAAGGTATGAATTGAAGCACTACGAATTATATTTCCCCTTCAAATCTACGAAGAATTACGAATCGCGCAACGGAAAGGATGAAAATCAACTTCTGAACAAGATATACATATATATGTTGGCAAAAATACAAATGACGTCTTTTGTATAATCCAACTTTCATTTGATATGTATCAAAAATTCTTGTTATAATCACGTTTAGAAGTTGGTATCTGAACTTTCCATCGTGTGAGTCGTTTTCCACGCAACATTTTGCGAGAAATAACTGTGCATTTGAAAATCTATGTTCACTGTTCAGATATAAAATTTAGGCGTCCAATAAGTGACTTTACATGATATTTAAAAGGCATTTTTGCGTCGTTAGAAAACTTAGAACGTAAGCATAAAACTGATTATGATAACATAGACATAGATGTATTCTCAAGGCGCAACACTCATTACGCCCACGTGTTGGGTTTACCTGATTGTTTTTCCGGTTCAAATCTTACAGTGGCCCAATCCCTATCTTCAACCTGGAGTATAAGAATTAGAAATACACTAAAAAAAAATTCTCGGCGTTTTTACCAAGGTCCGTTGGTACCTTTACCATCTCACTTTTTTACCAAATATTGGTAATTTTACCTAGACAGACTGGTGAGCTTACCTAAAAATCGGTATTTTTACTGGTTTTTTTGAGGTAAGAATACCACTTTTATTGGTAATCAATTCCCGGCAACTTTGCCATTTTATCTCGGTAATTTTACCACAGTCGATAAACAATATTGGCGTTTTTACCAAGGTCCAAGGTTTATTGAGAAAGTTCAATAATTTTACCGAGATTTCTCGGTAAAATCACCAATTGCATAAATGATAATTCTACCAAGAAAAAATGGGATCAAAGAGAACCCTGAATTCTTGGTAATTTTATCCTTTTCTTAGTAAATACACCGAGATTTTTTTTTCAGTGTATGACGTAAAAAAGCCCGACGATGGAGGTGGCTGTCTCGGTGGCCCTGTTGATACTGGCGAATCTGTGGCTGATGGTGATCCCGCAGACGAAGAAAGACGACAAACACCCCCGACCGGCAAACGCCTCTTACTCGGGCTGCCGCTTGACGATCGGGAAGCTGACAGGGGCCAATTCTGAGTCCAACGACGGGATCCAGATGGGCGAGTGCTGGGCCAACACTCGCGTCCACAACCAGAAGTGCGCATTTTTCGTCCCTTTCGAGCCCGGCCATGAGCACTATGACAGCGAAGGGGGCCCCTATGGCTCCTGCCTAGCCCTCGACCAATACCCTCAGGTAGGATAAAATCCAGAGACAAGAGACCCTCCACTAGTATCTTGACCATGTTGGAAGCTTCTACTCTCGGAACCTCAGCATTCCACTGTTGACTTACCTACATGGTTGATGTTCAACAACGTGTTGTGTTGGCAGTTTCGTTTTGCAAACATGCCGAACAGAAACATTCAAACAGACGAAAAGCTAGCCTGAGAGTCCACCTCTACATGAAGACACTCTCTCCATGCAAAGATAGAGAGCAAATACATTGACAGGACTGTCACTTTATATGGGGACTCTAGAGCTGAAATCACGGCAACCCTGTCGATGTATTCGCTTTCTATCTTTGCATGGAGAGTTTTTCTTGATGTAGAGGTGGACTCTGAGGATAGCGTGGGATATCCCCTCCATTTTGGCCTCAACTTGAGAGCTTTTTTTGAGTTCGGGAGATGATTTCAGAAAAAACCAGTGGCACACCATCGTGTTTCTCGCGAACTTTTACATAAGAATCAATAGTCAAATCGCAAATTCCTCACGCATGCAACATCTCCATCGGCTCTGAGCACGGTGTCAATGATGAAGCTGTGATCGGTGTTTGACTCTAATTAAAATTTTTCAATTTTTTTGCCATGGTTTCCCCGCAAAATAGTATAGACCCAGCACTATTGTGTCACCTCATCTAATATCTTCAATTCTAAATGTAGATTAATGTATATTTCTTCAGGCATCCGACATGTCAGAGACGACAAACCTGGCAAACTGGTGTTTCTTTTGGGAAACGAAAGTCGATCCGAGTAGCAACGCCAGTGCTGCGCCACTGCCCTCGGCTCCGGGTGAGAAGGGGCTTCCGATGCCGATCGTCTGTCCGAGCAACCTGAAAGACTGCTACTCCGCCGACTGGTTCGAGCCGGGCGGGAAGCTCGGCGCTTACGGGGATCTGTACCCGACCTACGGAGGGATCTGGTTCCCGCTCAAAGATCCCAGCACCAGGAAACCCCTCTTCTGCCAAGGTCTCGGTTTAGGCTGCGACACACCCAACATGCGCGGCTTGCAGCTCCAGCATCTCATCAACGGCACCTGCGACGTGGAACACAAGTGCCACCCGCCGAATGGGACCAATCCGAAGCCTTAGCTCCACATTGGGCTCAATGGACCACTATACCAGGTTCGAATTTAAGCATTCTGATACATGTTTCTTGACCAAAATTTCACGTAGAACCAGGGCCGGATTTACCTACTTCCCGCCCATGGGCCGACTATATTTTTCCGCTCCCTTCTGATTCGTTAAGTGAACGCGCCGGAGGGGGTGTATGAGACGCGTTCACTCGTTTTGGGCACATTTTTTTGTGAGAGCCCTGTCAACACCAACAAAAGTTCACGGAGCTTTACGCGGAAGTTAAGTTCCGTAAATCCATCCCTGTTTGGGTAACCTGGGACGGACGTTGCTGCAAGTTGGCAACGTTGTTTTATTTCCAGTGGCGTGGCGTGCTTTGCGATATATCGATTGTTATGCCATTTAAACCTACGGAAAAGGATCGATAAACACGGTGTTCGCAGCGAACACCTTAATAATCGATTCTTTACCATAGGTTTAAATGGCATAACAATAGATAAATCGCAATTCACGCCACGCCACTGTTTCTTTCCATTTACAGCTGTGCATCGAGAGAAATCTCAACACAAAAGTTTGGTTATAATACAGGAAGTAAAACACAAGCTGGACGTATTTATGCAAAATGGAACAATGTGGAAGTGGAAAAATGGGGTGTGATCGTCAGCGGTCGAGCCATTAGAATGAACGGGTAATATAAAGCGCCAGTGACGTCAGCGGTAACGACGAGAGAAACGACGATCAACGACACGGCATTTAACTCATGAGCCCTGTCCACAAGGCTCTAGATACATGCCCGCGGCTCACGAGTTAGCGCTTTTCATTCAATTGAAAATCCCGCTTTTCCAATTTCTCAAAAGGAACTGTCTCCGCTTTTACATTGTTTCTTATCCAGCCTCCACGAGCACAACCCATCTTTCCACTTGCGCATAGTTCCTTTTAGTATAAATACGTCCAGCCAACCCTAGCCGTTGGTTGACAATTTCGAGAGAAAATGTTGGCTAGTTTTCTTGAAGGAATTTAGTAAAAAAACGAGTGGTGCATACCAACGCCGCGATAAGAGGAATGCACTTTTCCAATCCCTTCATTGTTATTTGCGCTAAATTTACCGCTAATTGTAGGTACCAAAATGAACGGTTTTATGTTGGTTTGTGTCTCACTTCCTATGTTAACCAAAAGTAACGTACGAACACACATATTTTTATTAGTGTGTTAAATAATCTATCCTCGTTGAAGCACCGGTCCCCTCCGAGAATCGATATATTTTTACAGGTCCAAATGAGAGAGTTTAATTGCAGTGGCGTGGCGTGAATTGCGATGTATCGATTGTTATGCCATTTAAATTTATGGTAAAGAATCGATTATTAAGGTGTTCGCTGCGAACACTCTGTTTATCGGTCCTTTTCCACAGGTTTAAATGGCATAACAATCGATACATCGCATTTCACGTCACGCCACTGTTTAAATGGAGCCATTTTTACAGGTTTATTCCTCAGGTAGAGAAAACTATAGGTTTCCAACTCTCTGGACCCACCAATGCAAAAGAAAGCCGAGTCGCATTTTGGTAGAAAATGAGTCACGGTAGACTGGAGTCGCTTTAATTATTTTTCCAGCAGACGGTCAAACTTATACGCACGGTTGAAACAAATTAAAATAAATACTCCAAAAATTTTAGTTTTGTGCATACGACTTCCTCCTCCTCTTATTCCTCTTCTCATTACTAGTTATATGGACGTATTTCTATCAAACAGACCTATGTGCAAGTGAGAAATATGGGGTATGCTCGTTAGTTCTCTTGCCGTAAGAGTGAACGAGAATAATGAAGCGCCAGTGACGTCAGCAGCGAAGAAATCGACGTCGTTGCGGCTCGTGGTCGGCTTCAACTCATGAGCCCTGTCCACAACGCTCTCGTCCCATCCTGGCGGCTCATGAATCCCGCATTCTGTTGGCACAAAGGTCTGTTTGATAGAATGTAATATCCCGCTTTTCCAATTCTTCAAAAGGAATTACGCACACTTTTACATTGCTCCCTATGCAGCTTTCTAGAGCACACCCCATATTTCTTACCTGCACATAGGTCTGTTTGGTAGAAATACTTCCATATTATATTCTTCTCTGTCCTCTTCTATCATCAGAAGGTACAGATCAGCTGTCCAGAGCTGCAACAAGAATCAAGTCAAGTCAGTACATAAATTGGAAATGAGGCCAGCTTGCGTTACATTGAAATCTCATTACCGAGGGAAGAAAGATTATCCAAGCATAGTTTTCCCTCAAAGAGATACACTGTTCGGTGCAACAATAGTTACAACCGTTCAGGAAGACAACTGCAGACACGTTACTTGTGTTACTGCAACTATGAACTATCTGTTTAAGGGAAAATTGGGCTTGCATATTAGCTTTTTCCCTCTGTATTTAGATTTTATTGCGTAACACACGTTGGCTACATTTCGAACTTACTGTCTATACAGCTTGCGCGTCTACCGCAATCAGTTTGTGACTCGAGTCAGCGGATCTTTTGTAACTCTCAACAAATTTGTAAACTTATTTACAGTGGATTCTATTTAGAAAAAAAAGCATGAAAGCTGCAGCAATTGAACTCTTAAGTGAGAAAGACCAAAAACAGCGCGATCATTCATTTCGGTTAAATTTTCTTAAATCTCTCTCAATAGTAAATCTGATCGCCGCACAGTGGATTGAGTCAATCAGATAGGTCGGACATTAAGGTTTTAACTATTACCGCAAATTTTAATGTATTTTCCGTCAGATTTTAAACTTCAAGCAGTGCTTTAAGCAGAAAATTTCACGAGGAAACCAATAGGGCCATTTTTAAAATCTCAAAGTTTTGATTTAACGGAGTTATAAGCGTTTAAAGTTTCCGAATTTTTTCCGACCTCTCCTATCGACTCGACCCACTGTGCGCCGACAACTAGGAAAAATTGTTAATTTTGGCAATGACTTTAAAAAATATTCACACGGATTACGTGAATCGTGCGTTTCGGAGTGTGTATACAAGACTCCTGGTTGGTTCGACGTGGTTTATACCTGTAGGTATAAGTCACTCTTGGCTTTATCACTTGTGTGCAACAAACTCATTCGGGATGGATTGCATGGTGTATCGTAAAAGTTGCAACCAACTTCACGGTTTCCTCTTAGAACTCATTTAGTATAAAGCTGTCCACATTCCAGGACTATGAAGCGCAATTTTCAGCACAGTATTTGCACGTGCTATGGCCGCGCCAAGCAGGCTTGCGTTTTGATAACCTTTTTCTGCTACGTGTAGCAGTTAGGGAGTCACTTAGGATAGGTAGCCGAGCTATATAATAACAAATGATCACTATAAATAATATGTCGGCAGCTCAATGTTGCCAACCTAATTAAGACAGGCACAAGTGTAGCAAGTCCACTGTTGTCAAATTGTGCGGTGTGAGGAGTGAAAGCCTAAATCTTGCGTTCGGGGTCTCGCATAAATTCGGTGGGAATCAAAGGTTGAATTGAAAACCAATTGCAAGGGGTTAGGGGTTGATTTAAAAAAAGGAAGAAAAAAAACTTGGAATATATTTCATATCGACGATGTAAGTCGGTAATCATATAACTCGTTTTGCGACGTCTCAGACTTCCTGTCATTCTTTATTTTTTAAACGAAAAACCATTCGACGGCAATTTTTTAAAACTGCCGTGATTTTTCTTCTCTGTGCGAGGAAAATACTGCATAAACTTCAAGGAATGATGTCAATTTGTTCTCCTTTAAAATAATAACATAGAGGCGGAGAATTTCAGACACCGCAAACGAGTTATGTGATTGCCGACATACACTGTAGATATACTGCAGTTCATACTGCACTACGATTCATATTAGGTCCCATCGCATATGGTAAAAAATATTCCGAAAATCTGTTGTCTTTGGACACATTATAACAATATTTGGACCGATTTAACTGGTAATTGCAACAGACGTCGCCTGATTTTCTATGATGTTTTATTTTTTTAAAAAAAATTCAAGCATCATTGCAACTTAAAATTTTGTGAGTCAATACTCTTAATAGTTTATGGTAAATTCACTGGAAATTTAAAAAATAATTTGGTACTTTAGTTATCTGTCTTCAAAAAATAAAATATAAAGAACAAATGGATTGCATTTTGCAAAAAAGGAACCAAAAGTATTCCAATGTTGCAAGGATTCTGAAATTACATTCTTTGCAAAACAGTACTGCAACCAAGCAAAAAATTAAATCTATACAAGGGTAATTTTCGTATTGGATTCATAGTTTATTAGGAGTAAAGATAAAACTTATTTAGATGATCAGTTGGATTAAATTTTGCAAAAAGGAACCAGAAGCATTGCAATGATGCTAAGATTATGCAACTTCATCCTTTGCAATAAAAATACTGAAATCATAAAAAATTATGAAATTTTTGTCTTAAATTTACAGTTTTTTGAGAGTAAAATAGAAACTGTTAATGGATAATCGGGTTTATCTTCCAAGACGAAAGAAGTTGCACAATCTTAGCAGCATTGCAATGCTGCTGGTTCCTTTATGCAAAATGCAATCCAGTTTATATCTGCAAGGTAAAAAAAGTCGCCCAATCTTAGTGACGTCGGAATGCTCTTGGTTCCTTTTCGAAAATGCAATCTAAATGTGGCAGCGTGAGACATGTAGTCGGACTGATTTCGGTTAAATGCATCCGATTTATCTTCAATGTATCAATGTAACGAAGATGAGTAAGATCTGAACTCGGATGAGATTTTGCAACGCCCTCCAGTTCCTTACACGAGGCAGTAGCTCATGCAGTAGTGCGTTCCGAAACTCCTTGTTAGCTCCTCGGTGAGATCCGGCTGCTGCAGATGGTAGGTTTTGCATACGAGCCGTTAACGTCGGCTACAATAGGCCTGCGACTATTTTTTCACCTTGTTTATGACGCTGTCCCGCTTATCATTCCGTGTTTTTACACGTGAAATATTTGCAGTATTTAGAAACAATAACCTAATTTGTTGGATCGTGGATGTATTTACTGGCGGCGCGGTCGTAAACTCCGGCCTCTGCACCGTACGGCCACTC